GAGTTTTCTTGGGTTTCCAAGGAGCATCTTTTCTGTGAAAGCAGCTTGGAGGAAGGAAAAGAAAACATGTTCCTTGTTCAGCTTCGTATGAGAGGGCAGGAAACATTTCCACAGTGAGAGCTTTCTCTCTCTCTGATTGTAAGGATGTCAGGCAAAATGTTAGGTGCCGCTTGGAAAGAGAGATAAAACAATGATTGGATTGGATTAGATCTGGTGCCATCACATCAGTGTTGAGACTTAGCAAACACAGAGACAATCTTTCTCCAAGTTGATCTATCCTCAGTCTGGCCTTTTTATTCTTTCATTGGTGTCTTTGTGGTCCACCCACCTTGCTGCTGGTCATCATCTTCTTTTCTTTCCTTCCACCTTTCCCAGCATGATGCACTTCTCAAGAGAGTTGGGTCTTTTAAAGAATGATAGTTTGAGCCTGGTCATTTATGCCTCAAGTAAGAACTCTGGATTGATTTGTTTTATGATCTATTTGTTTATTTTCTTGGCTATCCATAATCTTTCCAGAGTCTTCTCCAACACCAAAACAATGTCACACTGAAAACTCCCCCATGAATAAGAAGCTTAAACAAATGGAAATGCAGTGCATCTATCTCAAGAGTTGGCAAAATGGCACCAAAGGGAGTCAACAACACCCCCATAGACCACTGACAGACCCACCCCCAATTAATTTAAACTAAAAACGGGAGAAACCTTACAAGCTCTTAAGTGAGAATGGCAAATTTGCATTAGATTTTGGGATTCTCACACCAATTTTTCAGCATTCTTACATGAGAGCGTAGAACAGGATCACCAAAATCACCAGAGTTCAGCTATTTCTTAGTGCCTGCATTGTGGCTGAAGCACAATAGTGCTTCAAGTGGCAAAAAGAGGCTAAAATGATATTTTATGGACTTAGCAAGCTGTAAATCTTTCAACTGGAAACAACCCTGTAGCTAAAGACAGGCCTAGGGGGGTTTTGCAGGGTGTGGTCAGATAAGTCAAGGTGGAAGCTACGATGGTGTGATTGAAGCTCTGCCCATTTTTTTAATGTGTGTTGCCCACATAAAAATGGGCAGAGCTTCAATCACAATGTTATAGCTGTTGTCTTGACTTTTTTTTTACCATATTCTGTGGATACCTCTGAATAGGCTTTAGAGTTTTAAAGACAAGCCACTCAACCTTTTAGTAGTTTATTTGACCTTTGGTAGTTTATTTGACCATTGTAGCTGACGTGAACATTCAGAAACCATCCACTGAGAATAAAGACAACAGGAAAATTTCCATAGAGGGAACAAAAATATTTTAAAGAAGTGCCTTTGGTGGGGAGTATGGATAGATATCAAAAGATCATAATGTAATCAATAACAGAGGTGGACAAGTTATTGTCTCAAAGATTTCTAGATGTTTTGAGATTTACAACTCCTGAAAAAGACAGAGTTGTTTTCAGCTGAAAGTTTGATGGTTTGTTCAATTCACAAATGATCTTTTGCACATTAGGGGACTGCCTCTTTTTTGATTCATTGTTGACCAATCTAGGGACACCATCAGCACTGTGGAATGAACACAGAAAGTAGAATTTTTGGTAAGGAGTCACAACTTCATTAATAAACAGCAAGGATCTACAATATTGGTGCATCACTTGTGGCCTGAGCCTGCATGAAGATCTCCAGGGGCTTGAAGTGGTATATAGGGTGGTTACTTATATGTCCTAGGTTCTGTTGGCCACTAGCACAACACACTGTGTACATCTCTATGTAACTTTTCTTGTCTGCCTTCTGCATCTGACATTGATGTTTATGTATATGTGGAAGAAGAGTTATAATTATTTATGGATTTTTGATGGGCAGGGAGGTTGGAATAAATGTGTGAATACATGTATGTCACATATAATTTACATAGTTTGTTTAATTTTCCTTGATATTTGAATAGCTTCTTCTCTTTTGGCATTTACAAAGTCTATTATGATGTCACTGTTTAAACAAGCCCTGGAATTTGCATGATTATGTTTTTTCCCCCTCTGATGCTGAGAAAAGCAATAACTCTATCCAAAGTCTGAATGTCATCTTGCATCCTCCCCAGGCTGAAAACCCACTTTAGTGTTCGTCTGAACATGTGAAGGGCTTTCGCTGGGTACAGAATATGACCCCTGTCCCAGGTCCTAGAAAGAGATCTGAACTGCCTGGTGACCTGGACATGGATGTGGAGGAACATACAACAACAGAGGAGAAAGGACTGAAAAAGCTAGTGTTTTCCAAACACTATGCTATACTCCTGTGGGTACCTCAGGTGCCAGCAAAAGGCTTATGAGCAAAATGCACAGAAGTCTGGACAGAGCTGAATTGTAGCAAATCCATAATGGGGGAAGTGGTTCAGTATAGGTTCACACCAGTATAAGTTCAGCTTTCCCCATGTCCAGGATCTGAATGAAGCAGTGTCAGAAAACGACAGACACGGGTTCGGTTGTCCAGTAGACAGAAGTTTTTTTATTGGGCACGTTTGCAAGTCCAGGATCTGAATGAAGCAGTGTCAGAAAACGACAGACACGGGTTCGGTTGTCCAGTAGACAGAAGTTTTTTTATTGGGCACGTTTGCAAGTCCAGGATCTGAATGAAGCAGTGTCAGAAAACGACAGACACGGGTTCGGTTGTCCAGTAGACAGAAGTTTTTTTATTGGGCACGTTTGCAAAGGTGGGTCCCTCCCGCAGCAATGGAGGAACCCCGAAACAAGGTCTGACAGGTTTTTTTATACCCCCTATCTGTCCTCCCCCTCCTACGAGGGCTTGGCTCACAATCTTACCTTTTTTACCGTCCCGGAGCGCTGCTAATTAACCGCAAAACCGCAGACATTCCACTTTCCTAATCCAATCAGCGCAATACACATTGCAATACCCACTTGACCCAACAGCCGCCCCCTGCCGTCTCTCTTCACTCGGGTGCGAGTGTGCCTTCTGCCCATCCTCCCTCCTGCCGCCCCCCCCAAGGCTGCCCCATGGTGCACAGCGCTCTCCCCTA